ACGAATGGTATGGCGAGATGAGGCGGAGCCTCCATGCGGGTGCAGGGTGTGCCGAAATTGGGCGGCGGAACTCTCTATGGGGCTACAAAACGTGTGAAAGGTGTGCCGACATGGGGCGCTGGCGCCATGCGAATTCTGCCACTGTGGCCTTCGGTGGAGCTCCCTATCGGGCCACGACGCGTGTGAGGGTTGTGCCGAAATGGAGGCGGCGGTGCCATGCGAACCCTCCAACTGGGCCTTCGGTGGGACTCCCTATGGGGCCGCGAAGCGTGTGCGGGGTGTGCCGAAAACGGTGGGGGGACGCATGAATGAGGATGCTGGGATGATGATGGAGGGGGGAGGAAGGAGGAGGGGTAGGAGGACGGTAGATGAGGAGAAGAGACGCGGGGCGTTTTTCTTTGTTTTGTGTTTTGTTTGGTTTGCCTCTTCAAATCGAGGATCCACCACCACAATATTGTTGGTGCGCATCTGTCCTCACGATATGCGTGTACGCGCGCGTGTCTGGTTCAACTGTATGTTATGTGTGCACGCATGAGCCTCCTACACATTTATCTGTATGTATGTACACACATGTTCATCGCATTATCTTGGATTGTGAACGCGCTATGGCACAGATAACTACTGGTTGCATACTGACTGTTTGTTTGTATAACATAACGGATATGCGGTGCCATATCTGGTACATAGCTTTCCAATAGCCCTCTGCCGTTGCACAATCGGGTATCTTCCAAATTCCTCAATCTGTGCGTATACCCTGCGCGTGCAGGTCTTCTGGGCATGCGAGGCGGTTGCGCAAGCAACGGGCTTAATCCACCTGGGGAAGAGTATCGCAACATCGACAACAACACGCGCAACATGAGTAGCACACCCCGCGCAAGACGGAAGAGACGCTGAAAAAACTCATTCCGTCAAGAAACCAAACGCGTGAACACTGAATTCCGTCGGCTCGCATCCCGGGTGTTGTCTATGCCTGTCTGTCTGTCTGTCTGTCTGTCTGTCTGTCTGTCTGTCTCGCTGTATGTATGTATGTATGCATGTTTGTTACATGCACATTTATATATGTACTTATTAAACTCGAACAGCGCGCGCGTGCTTCGCGCGGGTTATTGATCTAGCCAAGGCGAAGGCGTCAAATCAATTAGCAGATGGGTAAGCTCGCCATCCCACCACGATCACCACGTGGGCGCACCCGCAATATCGTGGGCATACAGACGTGCATGACTGCTTCGCGCCATTCGGGCACATCGTTCGCACGGATCATGCCCTCAAGGAACTCCACCTTCGGCGTCCCTCACAAAGGAGCTCCACCTGCGGCCCCATTACATCGCGGCGCACCCCTCGCGCGGATACTGCTGCCCCACAAAGTGCACGCACTTAAATGGAAGCTTCGCGTAGCGTCGCCCGGCTCACGTCGCGTCGGCACGCGTCTCACACGCGTGGTGCCCTGCAAGGAGCTCCACCCACGGCCCCAGAGGCAAAGTTCGCATCCCACCCTCCCACCTACTTCGACACACCTCTCGCACTGATCGTGCCCCACAGGGGCTCCACCGACGGCCTCAAACACAAGATTTGCATAGCGCCCCCCTCCCATTGCAGCACACCCCTCACGCGGAACGTGCCCCACAGGGGACACAACCCACACCTCCAAAAACAAGGTTTGCAAATCGTCCCTCCGCCCATGTCGACACACTGTTCGCGCGAATCGTGCCCTGGAACGAGCTCCACCTATGACGTCTCTGGGCGACCCCGCCCATTCCGGCACATGCCGCACACGGGTCGTGACCCACATGGAGCTCCACCTGCGGCTTCAGTAGGCGGGTTCACGCGAGGGCACCTGGATCGTTCGGCACGTCCTTCACGCGGATCGTGCCCCATATGGAGTTCAGCGCGCCTGTGCACGCTTGCTCCCTAGCATCCCGCTATCAACTCAGACGCGCGGCGTGCAATCTAGGAATAGCGAGCCGCGCCCTGCGCCACATATTACCAATGGCCTTCGGCCAATACTGCCACCGTGCCTGAGTTTTGAGCCAGCGGCTTGTGAGATACATATGCTGAAGGGTCTGTTGGCATGCTTCTCGGGCGTCTCGTGGACCGAATTTTGAAGCTTCTCGGGGCCTCTCGGTAACCGTTTTGGGGTCTTTGGGGGCCTCTTTTGGGTCCTTTGGGGGCCTGCTGGCAAACTCGGGGGTCCACTTGGGGCCTTCTCGGGCCGACTTGGGCAATCTTGGGAATTTCCTGGGCCATGTTGTAACTGTCTGGGGCCGACATGGGGCCCCCCCCCCTGCGGGCTTCGTGGGCCGTCTTGGGACGATCTTGGGGGCCTCTGGGGGGTCTCTCGGGGGCCTCTGTCTGGAAGCCATCACGGGGTGTCTTGGCCCGTGTTGCGGCTCTCTCGTCGCTTTTCCCTGTTTCCAAGAAGGTGTTTTGGGCGGCCAAGGTGGCCAGGGGGAGGCCTGGGAAGCTCCCTAGGGGGGACTTCAAAAAGGACAGGGGGGGGGGGGGAATCCAGGATGGTGTCCTGGCCCGACGCCCAGTTCCCCGGTCCCCGGTACCCTGGTCTATTTTTCCACATCTTAAAACATATGTGCAGTATGAATATATGTATGTACGCATGCATGCATGCATGTACGTCTGTATGTAGGTCTGTCTGCTTGTTTGTTTGTTTGTTTGTTTGTTGGTTTGTATGTATGTATGTATGCATGCTGACATGCTTAGATGGGGCTGTGCTTTTCTCGAACCCCGGATGAGCCTTGGAAGGGATCGTCCCTTTCATCCTGTCTCTCGTTGACGCTGCTGGGGGGCCGTACACTCACTCACACCTGCACGCCCCCTACGGCGCTGCGCTCGCGCGCAGAGCCTCTCGACCCTCGCCAGCGCCCGCGATCACTTCCAGTCTCCGATTTCTTCAAGCTCTTCAGTCGACCTCCTTGCCAACAGCCACGAGCTCAAACGGCGATGTGCGCGGACAGCGGCGCGGACCGCGGGCTCGCGTACTTCCACTTGTAAGTGCACGGCGCCTGGCTCTGCTTGTCCACGAGCTGCCTCCGCTCGGTGGTGATGTCCATCGCCTTCTCCACCTTCGTCGCTGTCTTTTCGCTGCCTTTGCCCTTGCGCATGGCTGTCGGTTCTGCCAGGCTAAATTTGCTGCACTTCGCGCCACGCAGCATGCCCAGCAAGAAAGTGACCATCAAGCTGGCCGCCATGAGAAAGACCAAATACTCGTCGATCCAGTCGTGCATGATGCTCGCCACCAGGTCGGTAGTCGGCACCTTCGCATGCTGCGCGTCCGCTCCAATTCTGCACGTGCTGGCTCCTGCCGACATTGCCGAGTCGCCAATCAACCTCGTTTTGTCCAGCTTCCACTTGTTGCCGTGCAGGCTTCCAAGTCCTTGTGCTTGTCCAATTCTCCAGTCCACGATGCCTGTCAACTCGCGCAGGAACTCGAACTGTTCCACGGGGTGCGCCCTCGTGCCAAGGTCGGCGACGTTTCTTCCGCCACTCTCCTTCTTCACGATCAGATCGTTGGCTTTCCTCTCCTGCTGGATCCGCAGCGCTCGCGCGTCCGGGTGCTTCACCTTCCCAACTCCCTCTCGGTGGATTATGGCCTTCGCCGCGCTGCTGCCGCCAGCTCCCAGGTCACCAGGTAGCGCAGCCACTCCAGCACGTTCTTGATGAGCTTCCCGTCCATCACCACAGAGATCGCGCCGTAGAGCTCCGCCTCGCCTGGCGATGTGGTCTGCACTCGCTGGCGCCTCGCGAACGCCGAGAACTGCGCCCCGCCAAATTTCGCGATGCCACGCGTCATGGCCTTGCGGGTGGTCCTGCACGTCGCGAATTCCGTGCCCATGTTCATCGCCAGCCTCACCTCTCCAGGCTTGCTCCGAGACAGCTTCTTCGACGGGACGCCGTAGGCCTCGGTCCCTTTCATGTAGCTCACGGGCTTGGTCCATGTCTGGGCTCCAGCTCGGTTCCTCCTCAGTCAGGCCAGGCGCCTTCGCGGGCTTCGCTTTGGTCCATGCCTATCGCGTAGATTAGGCCCTCGATGTGCTTCATCTTCAGCCCCATCATCACATCGCCATTCATAAGCCTCAGTCTGCCGCACTTCAAGTTCGAGTGGCGCACCTTTCTGATCGCGTCTGTGGCCTTCAGGTCGGATGCTTCGCGCAGCCTCCCGATGACCGCGTCCAGGTTCTTTATGGGGCACTCTCCGTGGAAGTCCTCCATGTGGACCTTGGTCAGGACCTCCTTCTCTCTGATGTTTTGGAACTGAGGCTGGCACTCGCAGCGCGCAGGGCCTTCTCCCTTCAAGGTCTTAGCCGCCTTGTCAGGCCGGCGAGCGCCTGCCGCGCGCTGCCCTGGTCGCATCTTGCTCTACTCCCACGCGATGTCAGATGGCCTGCCCAGCTCCACCGGGATGGCGAGGTACTCCGTGGGAGGCTCCACGCAGACTTTCCCCGTCTGGTCTGCCCGGTAGTGCGCCTTTGCCCACTGTGCGATGAAAATCCCGCGATTCTCCTCCTTGAAGCTGACGAAGTCCACTGACCTGCTCGTCTGCGCAGACGAGCTCGCCGCGAATGCGTTGTCACGTTGTTCGATCCACTTGGAGTCCTGAGCCGCATGTCCCCACTTGCAATGTCTGCCTCGCATCTGCGGTTCCCAACGTGCACTGATCATTGTCAGATGTCCACTCTCAATCCTCGGGATGTCCGCGTGCGCGCCGTAGGGGGCCAGGACCTCCAGCGCTTCGCGCTTCCATTTGAGCTCCGCCACGGGCTCCTGCCCACTCGTAGTCACGTAGGCTCCCGTGCCCATGCTGTCTAGGATGCTGTAGTCGATCGGGTCGTCTAGCGTGATCGCGTCCACGTGCCTAGCTGTCTTCCAAAGTGACCCGAAATCGGTTTTCACCGCTGTCCTGGTCTGCTCCGTCTGTGTCGGCAGTGCCTCTACCTCCATCGCGTCCTCGGGCTGCGGCTGTGGTGCTGCCGCCGCCCCTGCAGGCTCTGCAAGTGCCGCTTGGGGTTGCCCAGTCGCCGTGATTCCTGAACCGAGCATCGCGCAGCGTGGCGCCCGTCTCACGCCGCAGATTCTTGCCGCGATTCCAGCGAACCCACTCGGAGTGGAAAACTTCCAGTTTGGCGGGAACGGAGCCGACGGTCTTGTCCGCCCCAACGAAAGCAGCGGAGCTCGCGCCAAATGCGATCGATAATGAGTGCCTGCTTTGACCCAAATCCTTTTCTTTACGCCCGCTTTCACATGATCTGGGACGTCGTGGTGCCGCTTCTGGCTGATGGGCGGCTTGGGCCGCTCGCGCTTGCCGTTCACCTGGGCGCGCTTCTTCTGGTGGACAGCCCAATCGTGGGCGCCGCCGGGCTTCATCTTGTGAGACCCCGCGCCGTCGGCGTGGCAGACCGCATTCCGCCCCTTGCGCCACTTCTTGGAAAGGGGCGCCCAGTCGGACTTGCGGATAGGCCTGGGGCAAGGGGTGCGGCGATTCGTCTTCCCTGCGCGGGGGCGGAACGCCGCGAGATATTCGGGGGCGCCGCGCTGCGCACTCCCACACCGCTGCCGCCCGCGCCCTCGGCTTCGCAGCGCGGGGTCCAGCGTCGGGGTCTTTCAGCTCCCTCGAATCCACCTCGTCGTCTTCGACGTCTGCCCGCCCCGCGCCCTTCCCGAACTCAATCTCCGGCTCGTTAAGGCGCGCGTGTGTGGCGCGTGCGCGTGGGGCCCGCTGGGCGGCGTTGAACTTTTCGTTATTGTGGGACTTGATGGGCTTCTCAGCGACAAAGCCGCAGCCGGTGAGCTTCGACGCGTGCAAGTTGAGGAACATCGGAGTATCCGTCTTCGTGTGAAACCCCCGAGGCGGTGGCTAGCAATTGCGATCCCTCTTTTGCCTGGTCTCACGGGCCGCGCTCCAGTCGACAGTGGGCATGTCGCCAAGGGAAGCGACGGCGTCCTCAGGGGGGCTGGTGGACTTCTGCCCGCGACCCTCCCGCTGCTTGATAGGCGGGTCCTGTGCGGTCGCGCTGCCTCGGCTGTCAATCGAGCCCTCCATCGTGGCCGCAATGGCCGCCTTGGGGGCTCTTTCGATTCCCCGCCTCAGGCGCGCGGTGGGGGGCGTCCCTGGCGTGGTTCGGGCGCTCCATGGCGCGGCCGAGGGCGGCCGCCCCCGTGGCCGCCGCGTTCGCCGTGGCAGCGGGGTTTCGGCTGGAATGCTATAACTACTCCGACGCCAGGACCCCGCATGAGCATTCGCTCGGCTTATCTAGGAATTACTCTTATCGTCATCCTCGTGAGGCGCCCCTACTGTCTCCCCTGCGTCATTCTCCTTCTCGCCCTGGCGCAGTTGCGCTCTCTCTCTCTCTCTCTCTCTCTCTCTCTCTCTCTCTCTCTCTCTCTCTCTCTCTCTCTCTCTCTCTCTCTCTCTCTCTCTCTTTTTTTGTGTGTTTTTTTTTCTTCTTCTTTCCTATACATATATGGGCCCTGTAGTTCACGTAGCCAAGCGAATGCCGTGCGCGTTGTCTCTTCGGGGCTCCTCGCGCGTGGATATGGGGGAAGTCTCGAGCGGGCGCCTCGCCTGGCAGTGGATCGCAGGGGCGCCCCAGCTCGCGCTTGGGAAAGGCCGCCCATTCTTTCGGAGCTCGACCCCCCGCTGGCCTGCCATTGGCCCCCCCCCCCCCGCGCCCCATGGGGCTCGCGCTTCGCGTCGGCCACCCGAGCGATGTGCGCCGAGCTGGTCGGCGGCGAACTCCCTGCTGTCGCGGGCTAGCGCGGGCGCGTTCCCTAATGGCTGCGTCGCGAAGCCGTTGGGGCAGCCTCGCGGGCATAGCCGTCGGGGCAACCGCGCGAGCTGACGGCGCGCGAGACCAAGCCGTTGGGGCGACCCCGCGGGCTTCGAGCGGGGCGCCGCCGCGGTGGGGCGGGGGGAAGCGCGAAGTCCAGCTCTGCTGCGAGCTGCTCCGCCTATGCCCTAGGGCTCTCCGCTCTCGCGTCGAATTCCAGGCGCGCCTTCCGCGGGGGCGCCAGCGGCCATCGCTCCAGACGCTCTCGCGGCGGCGGCCGCAGGATCAGCGTGCTCTGCGTGCGCGGAAGAACATGGCGTAGATGTGCAGCCGCCGCGGCCGCTCGACTTGGCCGTGCGGCCAGCATCCTCGCCCCTCGCGCAGTCGATGGTGACGCCCTCGCGCAGCGTCTGGCCACGCGACGGAGTGAAAGTGGGGTTGGGCGCGTGCGCCGGGGTGAACCCGGAGTGGCGCGCGGCGTGCGGCCCTGGGCTCTGCCGCGTGAGCTCCTGCTCGCTGGGCCTGCGCATCAGCAAGCTCCGCGCCCGCGCCCTGGAATGGCCGTCGTCGTCAACGCCTTCGGCGCTCTGTCGCCGCGGCTCGGCGACCTCCAGGTGGATCGGGGGCTCCTTGAAGCCGTGTTCCTGCAGCCAGATTCCCCGCGGTAGGATGCGGGGAGGAAAGAACTGGCCTGGCGAGCGCTTCTCGTGCCGCTGCTCGT